ATTAAAGACTTAGTTTATACCATGCAGAGCCAGATTTATCTCCAGAAAGGGGAGTAATCAGTTCTTAGAAAAGTAGAGTTCTTGTAGGTGGAATGTAGTAATGCCCTCAGGCCCCGGTCCCCGCTCTGTTGTAATAATTGCTATAAAAACCCCCACACAATAAGGAAGAGGATCACTGAGCTTTAGAATCTAGATAAAGATAAGAGCTTTAGAATCTAGATAAAAACCCCAAAATGCATATGTGTGCAAAGAAGGACCCAGAAGGTGGAAGTCGCAACAGGCTATTTGAGAGAAACACAAAAAATTTGCCTGAACATGTCAGAGCAGAGTTTGCAAAGCCAAAGGTCAGCCAGAGATGAAACTAGCAAGGGAGGTGAAGGGCAACAAGAAAAGGGGTTCTAATTACATTGGCAGAAAAGAAAAGTTAAGGAGCATGTGGGCCCATTGCTTAAGGGGGCAGGGGACCTCATGACCAGGGACATGAGAAAGGACAAGGTACTCAATGCTTTTTTTGCCTCAGTTTTCATTGGTGAGGCTTGTGCTTAGGCTCCCCTAGTACCCCAAGCCTACTAGCACAGTCTGGGAGTGAAGCAGGACCCACAGTGGAGGAAGGGGGAGTCAGGGATCGCTTAACCCACTTCAGACATACACACAAAGACTGAGAATCAGTCAGTATAGGGCAATAGGTAGCAGACACAAGATGGAACATGGGAAATTCCAGTCAGATATTATGGGGAAAAAATCACCATGAGAGTGGTCAAATACTGGAACATGTTGCCCAGAGAGGTTGTGGGATCTTCATATTTGGAGGTGTTCAAAACTCAAATAGAAGAGTCGCTGAGCAACCTGATCTAATTAGATGTGCTGTTAGCAGGGAGCTGGACTAGATGAGTTCTGGAGGTCATCTATGATTCTATGAACTTTACCTTGGTTTATAGCCCCACATAATGAATACATCTGTCTCTGTGTTCTTGACATGCACCATTTCAAATTGGAACTAGAACAGCTAGAACAGATGAGACTGAATAAGGGCAATAGTGAAGGTTCCTAGGAAATACATGTTAAAGAGTTCTTGAGATGGTATTTTAAATAATTGCATATTAATTCTGCATTACATTAGTGATCCTTAAATAACTGGGAAGACTTATGGAAACTGTTGGATGCAACCAACTAAAGTTTAGAGTCAAGCTATGAATCAAAGTTTCCTACTTGCAACTTGGAGTACTGTACGATGTACATAAATATGCTATGTATTTTGTAGTGAAGCATCAATACAATGTAGTGTTAGAGTATTTTTTCATAAATACGTTCCATAAGAGACCAGTAATAAAACCAAGATGTTTTTTCATGTTAATGAAACATGGCTGATTATAAAGTTTTAAATACATGCCAGAATGTACAGTAAAACAAACAAAAAAACCCAACAACCCCCCCCCAGGAATCTAAGTAGTTTAGAGGATCTTTTACTGTCCAATTAAGGATTTTCCAAGTGGAAAGTAAAATGCCATTGGTTGTACTGTTTTGTTATTTCCAGATGTTGAATACACTGAACCCTGCACTGCCACGTCAGTAGTACTCAGGCTATGGAAACCATGTTGTCATTTATTTATATTACTGTAGCATCATAAACTGGGTCAAATCATTTGAGTTCACCAAACCGAGATTTACAAATTGAAGACATACTCTTGGAAAAAGAAAACAAAAGAAAGAAAAGCAGTTTCATAACATCAGAGATTACATGTCCTTTAAAGACAATTTCTCATAGTCTGGAGTATCATTCCTGGAATAGATATTAAGTAGTTTAACCAAGCTACTTTTTATTTGGAACACTCTATCAGTTTCTCTTAATATGCTACACCCTACATGTTCCTTTTTATTTAGTTGAAACAAGACCACTTGGGCAATAACTGGCTGATTACCAGTCCTAAATATATGGCCACAAAAATCTTACGTATGGTGGTGGGGAACCATCAACTGTAAATATGGAACACAAGCCCCTGGAATCAGTTTAATGCCCTTGCAAATTTTCTCTGTTTAACTAAAAATTTATTAGTTTTCATGGGGTTTTTTTATTCTTAGAGAGGAAATGGAAGGAACCTTTGAGGACACTAGCCATCTATCACATGGAAAATGTTCTACTGTCATTGCTGCATTTCAAATTTGCACCAGGCAAGCTGCCAACTAATCTCTAGCACTCTGCTTTTCTAAGCATATGCTACATTTTAAAACAAAACCAGACTATACCAACACTCGCATTTCAGCACACTCAAATGATGATCAACTATGGGATTCCCATGCCCGCAAGCTTTTCATAGAAACCTTATTCAGATCATCTCAGCTGCTAGGCTCCATGAATGATATTAATTATTATCTAATTAGTTGTTTTGGTGCCACAGAAGCACTAAGTGTGATCATGACTAGTAGATAATATGGCAAATACAAGAGGAGGAATCCATAACAATCTCTCTTTTCGTATATGGTTTCTAATCTGAAAAAGGAATAAAGCATTGTCCGTCTTTTGCTTAAAAACACTATATTGAAAAATGAATGATTTATTATTGAATTATGATTTATTATTGAATGATTTAAAGGAGTGAAAACCTGACTAGTATTTGCAATTTGGCCTTCATCCTGTTTGCAGCTTACATTGCAGATCCAGCTCTCACAGCACAATGTCAAGCCTGGGGCAAAATGAATTCATTTTATCTACAGAGGGAAGGAACTCTAAGCCACAGAGAACACAGTGTCTACCTGTGACCTTGCATATTGAGTTCAAAGCAGTCTCTGCAAATAGTCTTGGAAATGTTTTTATCTTCCAGGGAGCAGTAAATATTCCCGTCTCCCCCCAGTACTGATACTGAGAATTCAATTAATTTTTTGTACAGGTTTGCAATTTCACTTGACTTTAAGATCCAATGTCTATTTGAAAGAATGAGCCTTCAAGCTTTAGTTACCTTGTCAGGCCCATCTCCTCTGGGTTTTGTTACTGCCAGCTAATCTAAAGAATGCTGACAAGGGAAAAATTAAACCTGGTAATTAAATGTGGTAATATCTGCCAGTATAGAACTACAATCTTCATTTTCCACCTTCATTTTTAAGCAGGGATTCTAATAAAGCCCAAAGAAGCCTCAAGGTGTCAGTAGACTCTAGCTCTACACTAAGTTTCCAGATTCCCTACCGGGACTCTTCTTTCTGCTCACAGGCTTGGACAGGCTTGGTTGTCAGAGCAGAGGTCCCACCATCAATGTTTAAAGCTTTCATCAAAGCCATTACATTTCCGTGAAATTTAGCCACTGGCATTCTCCAGTAGGACTGTTGTACTGCAGCCTGGGGACTCTTTCTGATATAATAGCCCTCATACAGTGACAACATCCAGGCTTGCAGCCAGAATTAATACTCTTTAAACAATCACATATTGCTCTAATGCTTGTTAATCTTAGTGCAGAAGTCCTTTCTTCTTAGTATCTACCTTTATAGGTCCGCTGGGTCCCTGTGGCTATTAGAAAGGGGCTGTGTGCGTAATAAGCCTGGAGTGAGAGGGGGAGCTAAAGAGGGTGTTCATACTTTCTCTCCGCCTCTCATTCCGAAGACTGCAGGGTCTGACAACAAAATCCCTCCACGCTCACAGAATTCAGTCTCCCCCAAGAGCGTGGGCTACCCTCTCTCTTACAATCCCTCTGCAGGGCCTGTGATAGCTCTCTAGCAGGGAGAAACCTACTGCTTTTAGCAACTTTTCACCTCCAGTTTTTAAGGACTAGTCAAGCATAGAAGAAAAGAGGAAGTTTTTCTCTCCCTTAACCTTTTAACAATAGACATACATACCCTATCTACCACAAGCTTCATTTCCTCCAACAGCTACATATATCTTTGGAAAGAAGTTCTAAAACATGGTGGTTCTGAACTGACGATGTTTTCTGCTCACTGGATTAATTTTTGGTCAAAGTACAAGACAGCAAAGAGGAAACCTGTAGAGTTTTTAACTGATTTCATTCCACGTGTTACTACAGAGCTGATCTACTGAAACTGAAGCAGAGATGAGAAATACCATGCCTAGTTGCTACAGAATAGATGCAAGGTCCCAGAAACACTGCTGTACTGACAATATTCACATTTTTATTGATGTTATTATATTTTTACTGACAGAAATTCAAAGAATTCACACTACTTAATTTAAAATGCACTTACAACTCAATTTTTTTTGTTCATTGCCACATGATCGTTCACAAAAATGAATGCCAATAAGAGTGAAAACCATAAAATCAAGCCCATATATCCAAAAATTAAAACTCCAAAGGTTATATGAAATGTTATACATTCTCTTTGAAAAAAAGGGTTCATTTCAATTGTGAAATACACAACGGTAGAGTAAAAATCTGATTATGAAACACATTGACTGTGAAAATTAAATAGAAAACAGACCATAGTTCTTGCATGTTAGTATCTGCCTTACTTGCATAAAAAATGGGCCCTCAGAGTATACAGAACCTTGTATATGTGTTGAAATAAATCAGTGTTATCTTGCCTGATAAGGAATATAGAAAGAAGAACTGATTCTGGAAAATTATCCTAAGGTGAAGAAAAGGTATTTTTCTAAAATATAATGATGGAAATGGCAGGTATATGGCTTTTTAAAAGAAAATTTGCTGAAATTTCTTGGCAATTCAGATAAGCACAGAGCAGACAAAAAACACATTCAAAAGTCAACATTACACTCCTTTTTTCTGCTGGCTTTGAGATTGCATAAGAGGCAGTTGAATAAAAGCTGGTAAACACTAAGCCTCATCCGTTTACTGAAAACCTTATACCTCTTGCGACCTTCTTACTCAAGTGGGAACACTACAAGTGCTGACATTTCATAATAAAAATGAGTAACTGTATTATGGAAATATCTAATAAAGTTTTAAGACTGAACTGTTCAAATGAAAATGAAAGGTATCTATGATGCAGTGATACATTATCCCACATAATTAGAAGGAGAGATATATTTCTACTTTCATAGGTTAATGGAAATATGGATCATAGGTTCTCCGAATTCTCATTGAAACTGATTTAATTTTGACTGGTTTATTGTTCATTGTCCAAGTATCCCAGTGAATCCCAGTTGCAAGAAATCTACCTGTGTAGCGATGAATACCATTAAGATTTGCAAGACCACACTGGTTGAACCACCATCCAGTGCTGTCACTGAAGTTACTGCAGCTCTTTACAAGCTGTTCTTTAATAGTGCATGTTGGCTTGCATCCGTCATTATCAACATCAAATGTACTGAAAGGCATTGAATTCTGGTTATCTTCTTTTCTATATCCTCTGAATGCATCACCTAAGTGCAACAGATAAAACGGAAGGATAAGAGTTATTAATGGAGAAACATAACACTTCTTACTTGTTGCATATCTCACAAACTTTTCCTCTGAATTTATTAAAAAAATAGATTTCTCCAAAAGTGGTTCAAGAGCACCAAATAATGAGCTGGCAATGTGTTAAAGATGTAGGAAAGAAAAAGTATAAAATACTGAGAAGTATGGAAGCTGAAATTCAATGAAACATCTTAATATTGTTGTTGCTTTCAGTGATGCACACCAGCTATGAAGGTAAAGGCTTCTGTCCTCAAAGACAGTGGAAGAAAAGATAAAAAAGCAAAAAGGGTTGTTAACTTCAGAGTTTCCAGTGATGTGCCCAATGCCTCGGAGTGAAACATGAATATGGAATTGTTAAAATGCAAAGGTCAGTGATTACTGGTTCTGTTGTCTTACTAAAGAAATGATGTTTCTTACAAATACAGGTAGAATAAAGCACCAACACATTTAGAGGATATCTATTATGTTGGTAATAAGGATCATTCTTGCATATTCGTAAACATGAGGCAAAAAAAAATTAGAAAAAAACAGTAAGACATGGTGCAATACTTAACATGAATCTTTGCACATTTGGTACAGCTATGGTATTAAGGGATGTCTGAAACTGTAAATTAATTTGTGTCAATATAGCAGCGAGTAACTGTTATAAGCTGTAGGCTTAATTCATTCCTGTCAGTTTCTTTCTCCATCCTTGGTATGCCACTGTCTGGGCACTTCTGAACTAACCAAAGCAATGACATCAGGAAGACTTCCACTAACATCAGTAAATTTGGGATGAGATAGTGGACACCTAAAGAATGGGACCTTTAGATAGATATACACAAGCACACACAAAATCCCTTATGTATTATAAATACATTCTGTGGGCTTGAATCCATAAAAGTTTATTTTCTTTATTCATTTGCTTTATTAAAGGAGTGTTTATTCAATTATTCCATTAAAGACCTTGAAGCAATAGAATAAAATGATTTACTATGCAAAGATTGATGTTGGCATAACCAATCACTGCATCACTAACCATTTATCTACATAAGTGTTCATTATGCACCAAACAGAGAAAACCAGATTAGAAATAAACATTTTTGAAGTTACCTTAATTATTACTCTTCTGAATGCATCTTTTCACATTAAGAAAGGGAGAAGCCATCTTTAAATACTTTAAAGGAGGTTCTTACCAGCATTTCCTGAATAACGCCCCAAATGTATCTTAAAAGAACATGCTTCATCCTCTATCCAAAATCCATTATATGCTGCATAGGCATGCTTGTCATTTTCTGATTCCAAATCCACATAAAGACTGAAACCAGTGGCTTTTTGATTTACTATGTGAAAAATCTTCCTCAGTCCAAGCCAAAATTCCCCTAAACCAGAAATATATAGTCAATAAATTTAGAAACAGAAAGCATGAAAGAAAAAATTGATTCCTCTAGCTTTTGTACTTTCCTTCCTGAACCAAGTCTAATAAAAGTTGTCTGATGTATTTGAAAGACTAATGAAGGTACAGACTAATCTTCCTACTTCACTGGGAAATCCATGTAAAGAATTCCCATGTGTGCATCATCTTTTTTCTCTGTGACATTTTTAGAAAATTCTCCACATGATAACTTTCAAGTGTTCATCTTCAATATACCTTAGAAGACCACAGAAACTGGATGTACTAAAGATCCACTTGATTAAACAGAATTCAGTAGCATTCCTAAGGGCAATACTGGGAAATGATAAATGTTAGAATTCTATGAAATGCAGCAAAACTGAAACCAGATTCTCAAGATTTGCTGCTTCTGTAAATTACACTTTTTTCCATGAAATGTTGCCCCATATGAGATGTGCTTTCTTGTACACTTGAAAAGTTGTGTGCTTCTGTTGCAATCCTGAAAAACTCCTGAAAAAGCAATTGGGTTTAGACTTGCTGGATGAAAGGTGGCAGTAAAAAAGTAATATCACAGTTATGTTGCTATTGGCATTGGCTGCTGAAATATTTCCATTTTGTTTCTAACTTCGCATGCCCTATGGTGAAATATTACTGATTTTTCTCCGCTTTAAGGAAATATTTTGCAAATGTGATTAAAAGCAACTAAGGCTTTTTAAAAAAAAATCTGGAAAAAAGGGAAATACACTTTATACATTATTTCAGGAAGAAAACATCAAACATTTTAAACACATCTTGTGAGACTGAGGATGGGCAATGGCTAAAGACTCTAGTAGGGTGATAGTCGCTACTGAGAAGATCACAAAATAGATCTGACAAAAAAAACCCCTCTTAAGTATAAACAAGGCTTTTAAGAAACAAGAACTTTACTCTCTATACTACTAAAAATCGCACACAATTTAGTGGAATGTAGGTCACATAAAGACAGCAGAAACGTTGGGTTCAAAGCACCTTAGAGTATTTAAAATTAATACCAGAAAGGTCACCAAATCCATCCAAGTATTCAGACCATGTTCTCTGAAATGGAATGATTCCATCAGTTCTTTTCTGAATCACAGTCCATCCACCTCCCTGAAAATCCATGTCACACAAAACCTAAAATAGACATAGATGTGATTAAACATTCTTGAGGCATCTGTTATGAAGAAAACATTTTAATTAAATAAACTATTCCAAGTTTTTCTAGCAACATACCTTTCAAATATCTTAATGAAATGCTCAAAGAAAATAAAAAATGAAGCTGAAGGGTTTTTTGTATGTTCTTGTTGTACTGCTTGATTTGGGTATTTCCTCAACCAGTAGAAACTGTTGTGTGCAAATGTCTGCTCATACCAGATATAATAAGTAAGTTTTGATAAATGTTACTGTGTATTGATAATAGCATGAAATGGAAGCAACATGCACTGTCATTTATTAATCATGCAAAATATTACAGATACAGGCACTAACACTGAACACACCTTTATTTCAGCTAAGCAAAATAGACACAACTTCTCAAGTGTTCTCCCTCACCATCATACCTTCTTCCCCAGAAATACTGTGTTTGTGATGCCTAGAAATGTAAAGCCCTTAATAAAGGTGAGGAAATGGAAAAAAAGTGATAGCAATAACCCAGTATATAATAATTTATACTGGAGCAGCAAAAAACTGTACAGAAGAAGGGGCCCAAATCCAGGGAAGTCCCAATATGAACATTTAACAGCCTGCAACTGAGCAGTCCCACGAATACATAAGATCAACTCTCAAATTTATGAGTCTCTATGACTCTTCGCTAAAATTTGTGCCCAACGGCATGTCAAATGGCAGTGGTCCAGCTGCCCTCTGCTCTGCTATGGAATATCACATTATGTGGCACATTTTCTCCTCAGCCCATTTAACTTTAGATGGGTAATTGAGTTCCCCAAGTTAGGCATCTTACTGCCCTTGTCTCCCCTGTAATTCCCCTTTATGCAGAGGAATGTGCATTCATAGCATGGCTCTGGGAAACAGAAAGGGCCCCCTAGACCCTTGGCTGCTCTCTAGGAACTTCAGCTGAGTGCCTGAAGTTAAGTGGAATGTATCCAGGTCACTCTGGGTATTTTTCAAGTATGTCCCCAGTGCCAGAGCTTGACCAGTTCTAACAGGGATTAGAAAGTTTGGGCATCCTAATGTAGAAAGGTGCATATTGCACATTTAGACACTGCACCACCTAAGCTGTTCAAAGGAGTTCTAGGGGATACTATGCTTAATTAGTGTCTAAAAACAGAGGCTCATTTCTAAGTGTCTTCCAGAGTGACTAATATCAGGAGAACCTGGAGAATGCTTATAGCTGTGGGACCATTAAGCTACTTGTGATAACAAAAGTAAGTTCAAAATATAATGTTGGTTATCAGTAAATCATAGCAGTAAGGAGATGCACAAATGATGGAGTAAAGTAGGAATTTTTTGTTCATGTTACAGGGAATGTACACGATGAAACATGTTTCAGAAAAGAGAGATTTGCAGTCTTAGCCTAGGTGGAAGTCAGTTTAACCCTCAAAAAAATTGTAGCAGTCTGAGCTTTAAATGTTGCACCCACATTGCCTGTGCCAGCCAGATATTTTTCATGAAACCAAAGCCTTGTTCCTTGGCAGGAACAGATCAACATCATATTCAGAACCTCTGTGACTTAAAAACATCTTCTCTATGAATGACAAGAAAGCAACAGGACCGAGTTGCAATGTGATCTAATACAACCTGGGGAATCTTGGATCTTCAAGTAAGTCAATGCCAGTGGATGCTCTGAGCGCTCCTTGCAACACAAATACTGAATGAATCATAGCAAGGGTCATGTGCATGAAAGAAAATTATGGGGTTTATTCCCTGGACAATCACATGCTTATTTCAGTCACCCAAGGAGGGTGGAACTGGAATAAAAAGAAATACAGAAAGTTCCAAAATGAATATTTAGATACAAATACCTAAAACTCATTAAAAATAATCCCATTGCCTCGTCCGCTGTCTTGAGAAGATGATTGCATGCTTGGGTACTCCTCTCACTATGAGTCAGAAATACAAAGAGGAGCCCACTTGGTCACAACATCAATCTTCAGTCCAATATAAATCAGTGGGAGTGTTGATAATTCTCAGAAGGAGCAGATTTGGTTCTATGTGAAAGGTCATCAGCCAGTTAGATATGGCACCAAAACATACACCAGCTAAGTAAGAATATGAGATAGCTACACAAAAAAGTCATTGCTGTGTAGTTTCGTAATTCCTTATACACTGGAAATGATGCAGTTTTCTTTCTTATAGCCTTATAAAAGTTAATCCACTTTACAGCTTGTTCTGTGTCTCATATTGTGCAAGATATGAGCGGCATGACTGTGCCAGGTACAATTTAAATTAGATGAGCAGGAGGATGCTTCTACTGACTATTTCTTCCCTTTCCATCTTTAGTGTGTATAAGAGGTATATTCCAAACAACTGTTTAGTTTGTCTGACCCACCTTAAAAATATCATTGATCTAAATTTACTCATTGAAAAATGTATCACAAAGTGATCATTATTCAATTTTCCAGACGTGAAATTGGTTTTAATTGCCTCATCTTTGAATGCTCAGACAGAAGCCCATTTGGGAATAATTTTCTGAGATGACAAGAACCTGCTACTAGCACTGAAACTGGATATTCTTAGAGCTTCTGGAATTCAGGTTTCAATTAGCCTGAGTTAAACATCAAAATCTATACTCATTTCTGAAAGCATGAGGTTTCAAACATGAAAACATGAGAACAGAATCAAGTTGTCTAAATAGTTTTCTTCATTTATCTGGTATCTTGATGCAAATGATTCTAAAGACATTTTGAGTTAGTTTCGGTTACATTTAAAGGGCAGCTTATTACTGAAAAGGTCCTCATTGAAATAAATTGTTCATGTTGGCTTTGTTTTCTGTTTTTTAGTTTCTTACCATGGTTTTCTGCCTCTTCGTATTCTTCTTATTTTGCTAGTCTGCAGAACTTCCAGAACTCTTGGCTATTAGCCCCTTAAAATGCATTACAATTTCTTGTTTATGTTTTAATGTCTTGATATTTTTGTTCATCTATTATTTCTCTTGTACCCTTTTTATGCTTCAACACATGGAATAATTTGCATTAAACAGTGTTCCTTACAATAACATTCTTCATGTTCGTTCTTCTTCACACATATTTTAGATATTTTTCTCTGAGAACTTTTTGGCACTGTCTGTTCAGTTCTGTGTAACATCTACCAGACAAGAAATGAGACAGTCATCTCATGAGTGCAGACGTTTCTTCTCATTATTTATCGTTACCTTGTGCTTTTAATCAAATTATTATGATTTGTCCTTTTGTTTCTTGCTCTCCTTAAGGAACCTTTCCACTCATATAACTGATTCTCAGATTCTGGCAGTAACTTTAAATGTGGAAAAGTGTCAAAAATACTTTTGAAGTAAAAGGAAGTTTATAATTTCAGATTTATTTGCCAAAAGCTATAACTGAACTGAGAAATCACTTTTCTCACATAGATTAGTCATACCATCTTTCAGGAAAAGTAATCTGGGTGAGGTATGAGTATTTCCATAGTGGAACCCCCTCAATCCAGAAGACATTCTGGAACAGATGCATTTTGTTCATCCTGGGGCGAGGCAGACGGCATTTTCTTCATACTATAAATATGGTTGTTCTGTGAACACTTCTGCCTGTCTTTGCCTTTCTTTTACCTGGAAGGAACTTGTTGATGAGTTACAGATCCTTTTCCTCAGCCCACTGCATTGTATAGAGAGAATGACAGGTTTTTCTGCCAGGGGTCTGCAGCACCACGTTCATCGAGATCCCAACATACTTCTGAAGCCTTTTCGTAACCAGTTTGAGCTCTTTTTTTGTGGCATTTTGTAAGGTTCCAATTGGCTAGAGAGAAAGGGATTCATCCTTCCTTTGTTATATATAAAGGAAGACCATAAAGTTAGATATTAAATTGTGCTATTTATTGGCTGGCTTTAACTCCACATTTTTTCTCCAAAAACTAACAACCCCAGCATGTACAGCAAAATTAAAGGTTTGAAAGTGCCATATCTGTCTTTCCACTATGCATAAGGACTTCCCTAAGTAGAACAGCCTGGAATGGAAATAAACAGACAAAAGAAAATACTCCTCATGTTTGCATTGATCTGAATATCCTAAGCCTTAGGAAATTAACCTACAACTCTCGTCTCCTAGATAAGCACTATAACTCTGAGCAATTACAGAAAATGCAGGTGGTGATAGGAAGCATGACTGCCACAGTTCATGCTGAATTTCATCCTTTACGGTTTGTCTTAAGAATGTATATCCTGCAAACTGGATACGAAGACTGAAAGATTAGCTGCCTCTCTGCCTCAAGAGTTATAGTGATGCTCAGACAAGAGCTATGCGCCTACTCCTCAAACTAATGTACATGTCCACCTATATTTAGATGCCTGTACAATATCATGGCCCAAGCTATAGGCATCAGCGGAGTCACCTCTCAAGAGAAGGCAATGGTATAGAGTCATCCAGCAGAACAATTCAAAAAGCCAAAGTTCACATTTTAGGAGCCAAATGGATCAGTCACTTGGTTCCTCAGTTTTCCATCTCTAAAACAGAAAAGAACAGCACTTCTCCATGTCCGAAAGGGGTGCTGGAAAATATCTTGGGTTTTCCTCTTTGGTACATTTTTCACTGTATATGAAAACTGATGATGGGATCTTATGACAGAGATTACATTTCTTTGTAGAAAATGAGAAACTCGTCAAAATTATAGTAATGGCAGACACATTTGGATGATTTAATACATTTCTTATTCATCTGTTGAGAAATTGTCAAGGAAAACATTTCAGATCTATTAAAATATATTCTAAGTGCATATTCTCAAGAAAATTGTGACTATCCTGAGAGACAAATATATTACCTCAAAAGGATAATTTGATCCTTCTGGATGGATAATGTACAGACCAGTTGGAGTTTTTGAAACTGAACCAACAGTATCTTTAATATCAGTGCAATCCAACCCTAGAGAACAAAGTATTTGAAGTTTGTTAGCAAAATACGTTTAAAAAAACAAATACAGCTTAGGCACAGAATATTACTTTTCTTGGTAATGTATGTATGATCTCAAATAGCATTTTCTTGTCATGCAAACTTTAAAATCATGTTTTGTCATGAATTTATCTTAAAAATGAAAGTTCTCTGAATTCCATTAAGCTCAGAACGACACATAAATTAAGAGAAAGTTCTTTCTATTCTTAAGTGATGTGATACAGAAATTAAAAATTATGTATCTGAGTCTTATTTTACAGATTTTATTTGGGTATTATCTGGGGAAGGATATCTTTTTCCTGCAAATACTTGTATTTATACTCATAAAAGCATCTGTATCATAATGTATACATTAAAAACCCTTTGCTTCTAAATATGAAGCCAGCTTTGTGATAAACACACTCAAGCAAGCAGTTTCTATGGCCAGTAGGACTGCTTAGAGGTAGTTTCCTTTAGCTGGGATGGACACTACAAGAAAGATTAACTGTCCAGTGTTAAGTCATTTCCATCTCATTTGAAGAAGGGTATTGCAGATGTGGAGCACACTTTATTTCATTACAAAAGAAAGTGCCATTTAGCAACATGAGACTGCTTATGAACAAGATGCCCAGAATTATCAGTTGCAAATGATTTAAAGCAGCCTTGATGCTGACATTCTTAAACAATCCACAAATTTTCCAGAGTGTATATGTGCATACCAACACAGAATAAATACTGTAAATGTTATAGTTGCTTACCTTTGCTTTAATTAGTTCTTTGTCAAGATAAAAGGGGAAGAGGTCAAGATTAAATGAGAAAAATACTTACCATGAGATTGAACTGCTCTGTAAGGAAGTGGATCCAAATGCTTTCTCAAAACTTCTGCGTTCAAAAGAAGTAATCTGTTCATGAGTTCATTTACCTAAAAATTTAAATAAAAGATCTTTAAATAGGTTGCAATGAGGAATTTTACATTCTAAAGTTGTTCTTTTTGACTCCTAGTGAATATAATCTGAAGTTCATTTTTGCCATGTGATGGTGATTCGCACCTTCATTATATGAATTGGTCCGATTTTTTACTTTTTGCATCCAAAATCATTCTTAGACACAATTCCATTTAATTCAAGAAAAGTCCTTCATTGTAAGGCTTTTTATCTATTCTGAGTGAGTGCACAGTGTTTGTAAACTACTATCAGAGTTAATGATAATATAATATGTAATTACACAAATATAGACAGGACTGCAGATAGGAACCAACATGGAGGAGAGGTCTATCACTTGCCCTACTGCTCTGTATGCTACTAAGTTATGGACCAGGTAGTGCTAATCACTCCTCGTAGAAATGGAACTCACACCATACCTGAGGTACAAGGAATGGTTTTAATGGCAATATAAATGCTTAATTTTCCTCAAGTAGACAATACCTGTAGTGCTAAATAATAAATAAAAATCTGTATGATGAAGAAAAAAGTACCTGATTAGAAAGGTAATCCAAAGAAGACTGTTGATCATCCATCATGTTTCTTACTAGTTTTTTTGTACTTCTTGCATATTCAACAAGAGAATTCTGCAAATTTCCTTTAAAAGAAATATGTTCATCCACTTTGTTATAAATCTAGAAATATTCTTGACTGAATAATGACACATTTATTTGTGATACCTAAGTGAATATTGAAGGTGTACTTTAGGGTACCTTTTAGGTGCCTTAGGGTACCTAAAAGTGAAATTAAAGTAGTACAGAGACCTCAGATTAAATCCAAAGATGCTAAGAACTTCAGCCTCAGTGCTTGCAGTGAAGACATCTTAAGAAGAGATAGCTCTTAAGATTTGAAGAAGAATTCCATCTTATCCTTGGGCAGCTTGGACAACCAGTTAATGAGTACCACAGAGATACAAATGCAAATGATAAAAGACAAACACATAATGTTTTCTGTCATCCTACATTTACTCATTTGCTCTGCTACTTACTCATGCTCCTAGTTTTTGCCTAAATATAGGCAAAAGTGCCCAAAATACAGAAATTAAATTTATCAGGTAATTAATAATACATATTAAAAATCATATGGGAAAGACAACCATTTTGGCAATTTTTTCTGAGGCTGATTACATCATTTGCTGTGTAGTTTGTCAAGGCAGTGAATAGAGAATGTTCTGTATAGATATCTATAAAACGCAAGCTCAAGTATAGATTTCTTCCAACTAATGAACTCCCTCTTAACTAATTCCCACACACTCTAACTTTGATGTTTAAATGAGGGACAGACACCCTACTCTTCCTCTCTGATGGAGAGAGCTACCGACATTCAGAGGGTAACACAGACTTAGGTGGGCAGAGCTGCTGCCTGGATTTGCCTGTCCTCACCAGTGCTTACGAAGAGAGACCAGCGTGGTTATATTCTAACTTTGTCACACCAGCTGCACCCCAAAACCACGGCACCCCAAATTTTCTGAACAATACTCAGCCTGGGCAGTGGTGTCAAAGGCTGTCACATGTGCTCAAGAAGACTAAAAATATAAATTAGCGCAGCATAGCGTAGCATAGTAGAGGATTGCATAGCATGGCATTGCATAGCTCATCACTGAGAGTATTCTTTATGAATACATACTGCACATGTAATGTCTTTCCCCTCGTAAAATTTTAGCTTGAACATCACATGGTACAAGGCATTGTTCTTTTTGTTTTGAAATATCTGTAGATTTATTTTTCTCTTCTGCCTTGAGTGGTTCTTCCACAGCTCCGACATTCCTTGTGCCCTGTTGTACCAAACAATGGAGGGGGAAATAAATTGATCATAAAGCATATATAAAATAGCTCAGTCTGCCAAAATGAAGTAGATTACTCCACTGATCTTCCTTCAAAACCTTTTTAAAGCTTTACCAAGCGATAATGACGGAGCTGAGACCAAGGCCTGTTAGGTGTCTTATGCTTAGCCATACTTCACAAGAGAAAGAGAGTCAGGGGTAAAGAATAACCTCTATAAATTGAAAAAAGTACCACCAACATTTCTGGTGAGGTATTCTACCTGTGAGCACTGTGAACTGGAGGCAAAAACTTGCAAACCTTGCAGTTAAGCAGCTCACGTTTTAGGAATCGCCACACCCAACAGACATCTCAAATGCTAACAAAGTTATTTTCACTGGAAAGGAGCAGGCTCTTAGATTTAGCACATATTAGCAAAACAGTTCCACTCTTGAAAGTCCCTCAGTTAATTACTTAGAGTCTGACCATGGAAATACTTGCACAAGTTATTAATCTATGCACACAAGCAGTCCCAAGCAGACCTGCAGAAAAAAGCAACATTAAAAAAAATATTTGAAATGCTCTTATAGAGGACAGAATAAAAGGATACCATTTACAGGCATACAATTATCTGGAACAGTAACAATAAAAGCATTGGTAAAAGTAATTACACCTGTGAATGTTCTTTTAAAATGATGTTTTCGTATTTAATACTTTTTCTTCTGTCGTGCCACTTGACATAAAATAAGGGAATGCCTCTGACTCATCACTTAAAGAAATGCTAAAAGCAATTCCTGAAATATGTCTCATTCTAAAAGGGTTAAGAAACATATTTTCATTTGGGTCTTGTTTTTTAATTCCATAATCTCACTAAAGCATCGTAGTATGTTCATATACAGTACTTTCAAATGTAAATATGACCCTTAGAAACTTAAAGATTTTAATGAAAAAGAAAACTTTATTTAGACTTGAATATATCTTCAACATAGTTGTTCTCCTTTCCTGCTTCGGCTTTCTCTTTCTGATATTGGCACTACACTGGCAAGCACTGAGAATTTTTCTTCCTGATTTTTGCTTTTTAAAAGTGAAAGTAAAAATTACATTAAACTGTTAACAAGCAGATTTTACCAAAAAAAAAACCAAACCCCAGGTTTCTGAATTATTAATGTAATTGCATTTTGTGTCTGGAGATAAATACTAGAGAACTAAAAGAATATGTTTCTTTAATTTTGAAATAAGCACAAAATAAAGGAAGAAAAATTCTGTAAGAGTTATAAATAGATCAGTTGAAACTATGGTTTGTTCCAGGGCTTTATCACAGCTACTCACCAGATGTTCAATTAAATAGTCAAGCAAATATTTTTAATCAATATTTATTTTTAACAAAAGCCAGCGTGAAACAGGCAATTAAATCCGACCTCAGCAATTCAAGCAAAAACTGTGACTCTGCCAAAAACAATAGTTACTCTGCATTTACAGTCCTGCAGATGAGATTAAAAATACGGCCTAACAACTAAACTGTGATGGACATTAAGAAAAAATGTTCTAATATACTGAATTCCTACAGTTTCATTGAGGTTTCTTTTCTCCATCTGAAAATATCTGATTCTTCTGTATTTTCATACCTATCCTGAATAAAGCAATCTACATTTTAAAAACATTTGTCACTTTTCTGAGAAATCATTCAGTTACATTCATTATCTCATTTAAGCAAAGTAATTTAAAATCTTACCTTAGATGAACAAGGCTTGGCATTACTTATGACAGTCTCTCCTAAACCGAACAGAAAAATATTAAGACAAATCAGTGAAGTTACCCCAAAGCAGTTCATCTTTTACTTGAAGAAATGCAAACGTTTTGATGGGTTTCAAATTTCCGTGGAAAGGATTGTACGCTATGAAGTCCTGAGCTAACGATTTGGGAATGTCTACAGCACAAAGTGCAGCCAACACATCACTCCTTTAATGCCTGGGTTTAATAAACCACATTTCAGTCGCACAGTAGATTCGATGTACTACTGCTTGCATCCTGAGAGCAATTACTGCTTATCACCTTTACATGACACATCAAACAGACATATTGTCACTGTGATAAAACTGTGACAAATTTTCTTACATGCTATTTTTAAGCACTGGTATGTATTTGGTATTGAGTAGTCTGGGCTACTTGAAAGAAAAACAAGTATTAATCGATGTTTTCATTTTTGTAAAAAGGTTTCTATCCCTAAAAGGAAGGCATTGACATTGGTGTGGTGGTACTGTGCTAGAACCGGCCGTGGATGCAATTTCAGAATACGTCCTGAAAGCAAATTCTAAACAGAAAACTGAACAAACTTACTTTAAAATAATACTTTGTGTTACATTGAAAATCATTTACTGGGAGGACAATAGCAGTGTCTTGGTCTCACTGGTAGCCCATCCTTAGGAACAGAAATACCGAGAGTGAGACAATCATTCAAATACAATGATTTTTTTACTCCTGAAAAATGTAAAAGTACTAGAGAATGTCCTGAAAAAGAAGATTAAGTGTAGTCCATGGAGATTTAATTAAAGCTATATAGCAAGCACTTACAGTTTTCACACACTCGGATCCACTATTTTTCTATCTTAAAAACTGGATCTGACATTTTAACAAAAACCCAAATTATTTGGGAAGTTCACAAAGGTCCAACAGATTTTCAACTCATCACGCACACTGGAGAATTTTGATTTTGTGATCTCGCTGAATACATGAAACCTCAGCTTCTAGTATAGCCCTGGGAGACAGACAGTCCAAAGGATCATCAGCATACACTGTTCAACATCACCTTACACTGATAGGGCCAGCCAATGTTCCAAATTTGTCTGGATACTGTGGTTCATCTCCATCCCTGTCTGAAGTTGGAATAGCTTTTGCTACAAGAAGATTTGAAAGTAGTTGGGAGAGGGGAGTTAATACAGCTTTAAATCCAGATTTTAATCCATTTTTTTAATCCAATGTTTTCTTTCAAAATTAATAGCTAAAGGGCACTAAGAAGCTGTACTTGGCCTCTTCCTGAGAGGGGCACATTCAACGGCCTGTGAAATCTTTACCAACTTGGGTTCTTCAGGATCTCTCAAAATAAAATTTTTAATTTGTTCTGAAGTACTGCATGGCACATTATAGTTTTCCAAGATAAGAGTTACTGGAATTTAACCAGTGCATCAGTTGATGCTCTCTTAAAAAGATGCAGGTTGTGAACCATAGTGCAGTCTCAGGGAGGTAAGAAGATGAAAAAGATTTTCGCAGCTGTCCATATATGACATTAAGGGGGAATGAACAGGTTTTATTCCTTGTCCTATAGGAAGAACAGACAAATTTCAGAAGGAACGGTTAAAATGGTCAGAACCTTGGCTGAACTCCTTCTCCCGTGCAGTCACCTACACAGTTAAAGTGAAGCTTGGAGGAAAGCTAAAGGGCATTAGCAGACTAATCCCCCCTGGAACAAGAAGGAAAGAAAAATGTGTTTCTGTAGCAGAATAGCTATGCTCCAGCCTTCAAATAAGATTTGTAATAAATTCAGAATCTATCTCATGAAGATTTAAGAGCTGATCTTTGCCCTTCACTGGAGTATCTGTTTCTGGCCCGCAGTAAAATTTATGAGACTTCTTTCAAACCAGCTGCCAGAGTGGGACCTTCCCTTTCATAACCACTTTTGTAACAGAGATCAGGCTGCTTGCTGTCCCAGAGTGATCATACAGCTCTGAAATGCGTGGCCCTCAGCTGGTCACCTTCTCATCCCACAGTCTGAAAGATGTGAGGTTACCAACCAGGAGGCATTATCTGATAACCCTAAAGGAGGGCTGTGAAGAAGTAAGAAAAAGGAAAGATAACAGAAGGTGAAAGACAGGAAAATATATAAAGACTGTTCTTAATTCTAAATTTCAGAAGGTATCTTGAGATGAAGCTGCGAGTTGTGCTGGATAAGGTAAAAATTTGCAATGAGTCTAAAGAAGCTCAAATTCAACCATGAACTGGAATTTTCCTCAGTGTGACATGGGCTCAATTTCTGCAGTTGTTTCCCAGCTCTGCTTCAGTCCTGTGGGGGTGACTCCGTTCTCCATGCTGATAAAGCCTTCTACTGCCTCCCAAACAATCCACTGCATTTTATCGGGAGAATTGGGATTTTAAAAGTGTATGTGGGTTGAAAAGCACATGGTAGTAAAGTGACAACCCATCTTCTACCTGCAACACTGAAGAGTTCAGACTGGACAAAGAGGTGGTGGCTTTGGGGCTGGTATTCTGAACTAGAGGTGAAACACTTCCATCTTAGGGTCACCTTCTCAACTTTGGTAACTGGGATATTATCAATATTCAGCACATTTGGCAACCTGAGCATCAGTGGTCTTGACTGTAAAACAGTAACAGTAACACCTACTTCACAAGCTGTGCTACAAATATGGGGGGGGTCTGTGAAGAAAAGTATTTTTTTTGAGTGCTATTTTTACCTTCCTAGTCAAAGACATACAACAGCTGCACACTGAAAAAGAGAAGAATTGGTTTAAGCTCAAACACAACAGCCAAGAAATGTCTCGCCAGGAAATCACCAAGGCATTTAGCCTTCTGCTGACAACTCATCTGAGGCATGGCAATATCCCAGGACAACACACCCTGCTTTGCCTGAAAAAAAAAAATGAAGTTTTTCAGTCTTAAGAACAAATCATTATTTATTTTTTTTTTAACTTGTGTAACTTTAGTTTTATATATTTTTTATATTTTTGTATAAAATCATATACAATTTTACATATTTCTTTTTTTTTGGCATTGCAATTTCTACACCCAGTGGTTAAAAAAAAAAAAAATTATCCTGTTAGCTCCAAGTCTTTACCGTCAACAGCTTTAACAAGACACCCGCAGCGAGCTCTGCAAACCCACAGGCAGCAAACGGGCTGAGGGAGGTGTTTCGCTTGCTTTCCATCCTCCCTTCACCCTAATGAGGAACGCGTTTGTTCGGATACCAAAAGCATCCTGTTATTTATAAGAGCGAAGAGAGGATGGAAGGCCCAGCAAGAGCCAAGCCCCGTGCCTGAGCACGGAGTCCGGCAGTGGTGCCCCTGAAAGGACAGGCAGACATGGCAGGTGCCCGGCGGCAGGGCGAGGTGCCCACACCTGGCTTCCACCCTTGGCCGGAGACCGCCGGGGCTGGGCTT